GGGCCTGGGCTCGAGCGTGGCCTCGGGCTCGGGCTCGGGGCCCCGGCTCGGAACTGGGGGGGGGGGCGGCAAGCTGGGCACGCTCGCGCCCTGTCTGGCACCCTGCCCCTCCCACCAGTCACTTCCCATTGCGTTGATGTTTCTGTGTCCGCCGACCGGTGTCACAGCGGGCTTGGACTCCCCCCCCCCCACGGACTCCATTGCGTCATGCGCGGTCACGGTAGGGGAGCTGCGTGCATTGGAAGAGGAGGTGGCGGATGAGCAAGAGGATGAGGATGAGGAAGATGAGGAGGATGATGAGGAGGATGAGGAGGAGGACGAGGAACAGCAGCCGCAAGAGCAGGAGTGGGAGAAGCGGGATGAGCAAGGTGACCAGGAGAAGGTCGGGGAGGGGAAAGGGGCGGGGCGACAACCTTGAGGAAATGCTCGCATCCAGAGAAGTGGGCCGCGCTGGGGCGAGAGCGACTTTCTGGACGATGGAAGCAAAGCGCCGATACTACAAAGGGGCCAACGCTGCATCGGGAATACCATCTTGAGACACCAAAGACGCTCTGTTTGAATTCACCATGGGAGGGCCACTCCCCGGCCATCTGCGGGAGAGGGAGGAGGGCAATGTTCACACTGAGCAGTCGCGCAAGGGGAGAACGGGGTGATGCCCTCCCAACAGCCCTCCGAAGTGGCAACAGTTTCGAAGCTCACATCCCCGCACCAGAGATGCCCACGTCTAAACCGAGTCTGGGTAGGGCGTCGGTTCGCTTGGTCTCGCACCAGCCATCGAACGAGGCGATCATCGTGCAGTTTGGTGCCCCCAAAGGATGGGGAGGTCTACGTAATCTGAGTCTGCGTAAAACGTCACCCTACTGGGGTGTGGCGACAGTTTCGCAGTTCACAGCCCCTGAAAGAGCCCCCAGAAGCAGGGTAGGAGGCGGGTATGACATTAGGCAGGGTGATCGACAGGAGGAGGGAGGAGGGAGGCAAGCAGGAAAGAGAGATAGAGGGAGATGGAGGGAAGCGGACTAGAATGCTCTAGCCAAAACGACAACCCAACGCAAAAGGTCGGGAAATCAAGCGGGAAAACAGCAGGTGTGGCAAGGAGGAGGGGGAGGAGGAGGGGAGGGAGGGAGGGAGGAGGAAGACGAGGATGAGGAGGGAGGAGGGACTATCACATGCTGAAGGGGGGAGCCAAAGGGATAGTCGGCCCGGCCAAGCCCGATACCGCGAGCTCCAATGCCATGGTTGCATCACCTCTCCACTGACTCCTCGGCCGCCGCGTTTCTAGCCCTCTCTGTGATGAGCCTGGCAGTGGACATTGGACGGGACAGGCGGCAAGCGGCCTTCAAATTGCTCTTGGGATGAGGGCCTGCTGCCAAACGGATCCACGCTCCTCAAAGGAAATTGCTGTGGGAGCGCCTCTTGAATGCCCCTTTGAACCCTTGCATGGCGCTCTGTGTACTGGCCACGCGGACGGCACACCACAATGGCTCAACCCCGAGATAGCCACCAGCAAACATATCGTGCTGCTCCGCTGAGCGGATTAAAGGCCGCCGCGGTCTTGGCCATCCTGTCTGCCCCATCGCTGCCTTTGGCGACCAGCCATTCCTGGGATCCCGTCTCGAAGGCGCTGAGCTCATGGTGGGCCTTGACCTTGGCCACTGTCAAGCGCCTGGAACCGCCTTGGGCCTTCGCGAGGACGGGGACTCCAACACTTTGTGGGCCCCAGAAACGGCAGGGCCGTTTTTTCACCGTTTCCAAGAAAATGTCCCTTGAAAATGGAAACGGCAAAAAAACGGCGACCGGAAACGGCAAAAAAACGGCTCGAGGATTGGAACCGGAACCGGAACCGGTCAAACAACGGCGACGGAACCGGTAAAAAAATGGCGTCGGAACCGGCGAACAAAAACGGCAAAACGGAACCGGTAAAAAAACGGCCCTGTCGCTTCCAGGGCCCACTAAGCTCCAGCGTGCAACTCCTTCTCACTAGCCGTGGGGCTCTGGTGGACTGGCAGGATGCCCTCGGCATCCGTCCAGGCCACGGTGGCCCTGGGGCGGATGGCTGCAGCAAAGGCTTCGAAATGCTCGGCGGCAGGCGAAGTCGGACAGGGAAGGGGCGCCCCCCCCCCCCCCCCCCCCCCACGGGGCCCGAGATGCGGGCAACTCGGTGACTCTCACTGCCGATGTTGCCCACGGACAGGGCAGGCGCAACGCGCGTTTCGACACACTACCCTTGCAGTGCTGCCTATGTGGGCTGGCCATCTCTGGGCAAGAAAGCTGCCGCACCTGCTCCTAAGACTGGCGGGGCCAGGAAGTTCGGTTCAGGGGCTGTCTGAGATCCTAGCTCGAGCGGGCGCGAGCTAATGTCTTTCAGGGTTCCAAGAGGTGGAGGGGGGAGGGAGGGAGGGAGGGAGGGAGGAGGGAGGGAGGGAGGAGGGAGAAGGAGGAGGAGGAGGAGGAGGGAGGAGGAGGAGGAGGCGGAGGAGGAGGAGGAGGACAGGGAGGAGGAGGACAGGGAGGAGGAGGAGGAGGAGGAGGAGGAGGCGGAGGCGGGAGAAGAGGAGGAGGAGGAGGAGGAGGAGGAGGAGGAGGAGGAGGAGGACGAGGAGGAGGGGAGGAGGAGGGAGGAGGAATGATGATGATGATGATGATGATGATGATGATGATGATGATGATGATGATGATGATGATGATGATGATGATGATGATGGATGAGGAGGAGGAGGAGGAGGAGGAGGAGGAATGAGGAGAGGAGGAGGAGGAATGAGGAGGAGGAGGAGGAGGCGGAGGAGGAGGAGGAGGAGGGAGGAGGAGGAGGAGAGAGGAGGAGGAGGAGGAGGCCTAGGCGATCGAAGGGCCCGCGCGGGAAAGGGATCTACCCAGGGGCCGCCGCAGACCGTGCCAAAGCGTGTCCCCCTCGTGCCCCGCTGCTTCGTCACTTCCTCTTGGGCCTCCCCTCCTCCTGCCTCCTCATCTCTCCTCCTCCCTCCCCCCTCCTTCCTCCTTCCTCCTCCTCCTCTCCCCTCCTCCTCCTCCTCCTCATCCTCCTCCTCCTCCTCCTCCTCCTCATTCCTCCTCCTCCGCTGGCAGGCGTATGCGAATCGTCTTCCTCGTGTGCGCTGGTGTGGCCTCCTTCTGCAGCGGCCGCTGCAGCTCAGGGGTGTCAGGCTGGTCCTCCAAGCCTGGCTTTGTTGGCCTCCCGTCTATGCGGCTGATGCTTGCCGCAGGCGCCCGACACATGCTTTTGATGGTGGCAAGTGGCGTGGTAATGAAAGGGAGGTCTGGCCGCTCGGATCCTGGAGCTGCAACGGGCGGTGTATATACATATATATATATATATATATGTACCTATGTGTATATATATATATATGAGTGTATGGTCCATCCCAGGCGTCACAGACTGCGTATTGCGGCCTCGAAGGGCCCTCTGATTCGGTGGCACGGTCAGGTGAATCTTGGTCGTAAATCTTGGTAACGCATATGCACGTATCGGAGGCGCCAGAAGGGGCATGTGTCATGTCGTCGTCAGCATTGCGTCCGTAGCCTGTTTGGCCCAGTAGGCGCGACTTGAGCTCATCCCCTTCATTCTCCATCTTCCTCGTCCTCCGCAACCTCATCATCACATCTCTCCGCCTGGTCAGCCCCCTCAGAATTCTCATCCCGATCATGCGTTGCATCATCTTCGTCATCATCCTTATCCTTTTCATCCGCACCCCCATCTCCCTCATCCTCCATACTCATCGTCCTCAGCCTCGTCCTCCTCGCCCCCTTCGTCCTCGTCCTCATCATGGTTAGCACTACCCTCATCTCCATCTTGATCTTTATCTTCGCTCTACATGTCCTCAATCTCCTTATTCCCCATCCTCCTGATCCTCCCCACTGTCATCCTCGCGGTCAAAAGGGAGCCACAAGGGAGCCAGGAGGGAGCCAAGAGGGAGCCAAGAGGGAGCAAGAAGGGAGCCGAGTGGGAGTCAAGAAGGAGCCAAAGGGAACCATCTCTTACGACGCCGACCGACCGACCGACGACCGCGAAGACGACCGACTGACAGACGAACTGACGACAATCAGCAGACCGACAAGCCGACGGATCGACCAACCGACCGACGACCGACGACGAAAACGACGACGACCGACCGACACGATCGACGACCGACGACGACGACGACGACGGACCAACCGACCGACCGAAGGCCGACGACCGAAAACCGACGACGCCCGATCGACCGAATAACCGACCGACGGACGGACTGACCGAGACGACGACGACCGAGGATGCGAGCGACGGACCGACCGACCGACCGATCGAAATGACGACGAACGACGACCGACGGACCGACCGACCGACGACAGACAATCAGACGGACAGACCGACCGACCGACCGACCGAGACGACGAACGACGACGACGGACGGACCGACCGACGCACCGACGACCCACGACGGGATCGATCGACAGACCGACCGACCGATTGAGACGACGACGAACGACTGGACCGACCGACCGACCGACCGACCGACGACTGGACCGACCGACCGACCGACCGACCGACGACTAGACCGACCGACCGAGACATCGCACGCGCACCAGCGCGTGCGAACAAGCCCGGTTTCGGAACGAGGCGTGACTACAATGTTATGACCCCCCCGCCCCCGGGCCCGCCTCCCACCCGTCCCCCCCCCCTCTTGTAATACGTGGAACTGCGGCGCGCCTCGATTCAGCAAACCCTGCAGGCGTCGAGATACGGCATTTTCCGATGTCGCGTTCGCCCCGCGCCATGGCCTCCGCGCCGGGCTCTGGGCGCCCCTTGGAGCTGAGAGCGGCCGCCGAGAATATCGCGCTCCACCTCTCCCTCTCGCGCCGCTGGACGAAACCGGGAAGAACATTTCTTATTCCTAACCTCTTGGCAGCAAATGGTGTCTACCTGCTGTGCCGCCGGAGATTTCAGCAACGCCCTGATGGATCTCAATCAGCTTCCATTAACGGTGGTGAACGTGATGGTGTTGCCCAACCTGCGGATCAGCCCCCCCTTTGCCCTTGCCCTCCGACTGGGCTTTGGACTTGGCCATCTCCTGCAACTCCACAGCGAGGGCCGACTGACAGGGGCTGAGGTTTGTGCCTGCGCGGTTGAGCACCTGACCGATGGCCTCCCCTGCGCGCTTGGCACCTCTGGCTGCCAAGGCCTGCTCCTCGTCCGCGATGGTCGCAACAGCTTCGGCATCCATTGGGTCGCCCTTTGACTTGCGCTTGCGTCCGCTCCTGGTCGGGCTCGGTGGCCAAGCCCTTGATGGTCTGCTGGGTGGCTACGGAAGATGAGGGAACAGAGGAGGAGGAGGAGGAGAAGAGGAGAGGAGGAGGATGAGGAGGAGGAGGAGGAGGAGGAGGAGGAGGAGGAGGAGGAGGAAGAGGAGGATAGGAGGAGGAGGAGGAGGAGGAGGAGGAGGAGGAGGAGGAGGAGGAAGGGAGGAGGAGGAGGAGGAAGAGGAGGGGACGGAGGAGGAGGAGGGATGGAGGAGGGGGGGGGGGGGGCGGCTGGAGGAAGCAACCTTTGGCGGATGAGCCCCCATCCCCAGGGTGGCTTTTCAGCTTCGCTGCCCAACTGCGCCTGCGGCGGGAGCTCACCACGCGCCCACTCCGCCGCGTCCTCTGCCGGCGAGGAGGAGGGATGGGGAGCGAGGAGGAGTGAGGCAGGGCGGGAGGAATGAGGGAGGGAGGGAGGGAGGGAGAGAGGGAGGAGGAGGAGGAGGAGGAGGAGGAGGAGGAGAAGGATGAGGCGGAGGAGGAGGAGAAGGAGGAGGAGGAAGAGGAGGAAGAGGAGGGACAAGAAGGGAATGGAGGAGGGAGGAAGGGGGATTGAGTATGGAGGGGGAGATGAAAGGAACACGGGACGATGCTGCAAAACACCCTTTAGTCCCAAGTCCCCTCCTCATGCGTCACTGCAGCATCACTGTGCGAAGAGATCCCATTGAAAAAAGAGTGCCCGGTGGGCCCGCAACTCATGCAGGAGCTACGTTCTGAAAAAGAACTGCACTCCATCCTTTTACTTATACAATTGGAGCAGCGTCTAGCGTCAGCCCCGCTTTGAACGGGAAACGCCCTCCGTCCATGTAACTGTTGCACAAGTCTAGATTGCTTGTCGTACGAATTATCGAAAAGAATATCACGAGATATCCCACATTTCCCGATGCCGTTCTCAGGGGGTACATCATGTCTCAGGCGAAAACGCACATTCGAAGAAAACCCGTTTTTCTGTCCGTGTAACTGTTTACGTAAAGTGTTGTAGACGAATGTGCCAAGCGTCACGCCGAGAGACCTGTTTTGAAAATGGATAACCCTCCGTCCGTGAAGCTGTTGGAAAACTTTAAGGCGAATGTGGAAGGTGCCATGGCGAGAACCCAACTTTCAAGCCTCAAGGCCGTAGAGAAGTCAACGCCAGGCCCGCCCTGAGCACGCCTTGTGGTTCGACAGGCAGGATTTGTTTATTCGCCACCGTGCGTCGAGGCACGAGTTGGAATGTCCTCCCGTCCTTTCAGCTCCCTGTCCTCAGGGTTGAACATGTACTGTGGAGGCCAGTCCACAAGACACCTTCCACAAGAAACCCAACCCTGAGACCCCAGGACGTCCATAGATTTTTGGTGTGGGAACGTCATGCTACCTATAGGAAAATCATCGAACCCCAAGAAACCCAGGGCATCCTGGAGGCAAGCAGGGTGTTTCTTGGCATGGGTCTCCACTGTATGGGCCCAGCTCTTCTGGAGGCCAGGGGCTCCCAAGACGCCCGACCGTGGGCCCCAAGAGGCCCCCCAAGAGGGCCCCGCGAGGCTCAAATCATCGATCTTGCATGGGGGCCTTCAAGGATTTCGGCACTCTCGCCTATCCAGGCGCCCGACGCTCCAGGACCGCCCAAGAGACCCTCAATCTCTAGCTCAGGGCCCCCAAGAGGGACCCAAGATGGCCCAAGACGGCCCAGGCGACCCCCAAGATGGCCAAAGACGGCTCCTGGAGGAGGAGCTCGAACTGACACGCTGCGCCCTTCGCTTCAAGACGACCCCCGAGGAGACTGCCAGCAGCCCCCGACGATGCCCCCCCAAATCGGGCCCCGGGAGGCCCCAACCAAGCCCCAGGAGGCTCCAAAGAGTCCCCCGAGGCTTCCGATGGGGCTTTCCGCTCGCCCGCCCGCCCGCGCAGCCGCCCGCGAGCGCGACGACGGCGCCGCCCCCGACGACGACGACGACGACGACGACGACGACGACGACGACGACGACGGCGCCGCCCCCGACGACGACGACGACGACGACGACGACGACGACGACGACGACGACGACGACGACGACGACGACGACGACGACGACGAGGCATCTGACTACTCACATCCCCGATCGCGGTGGTGGGCCGGGGGCCCCCGTCGCCGTGGCTGGCGCCGACTCGAGACCTTGGCCGGAAGGCGCTCCCGGGTGTGGCCGGGGGGTGGGGGTGGGGGAGGAGGAGGAGGAGGAGGAGGAGGAGGAGGAGGAGGAGGAGGAGGAGGAGGAGGAGGAGGAGGAGGAGGAGGAGGAGGAGGAGGAGGAGGAGGAGGAGGAGGGGGGCGGGATTTGCGAGGGAGGCGGGCCCGGACCAGCAGCGTTCTGACAAAAATGGCGACAAGCGTGCCGCCATTACTTTATCGCACTGTCTGGCATGCAGTCTGCGTGCGATATCGGCATCTGGGGGCGTCTCGGGGCCACGGGGTCCATCATATCACAAACCCGCGGCGGCCGCGTCGAAAAAGCAGTCTCCGGGAAGGGGCCATCATCGTCCCCTTTGAAAACTGCCCGAGCTCCTTCTTCATCCTTTTCCTCGTTCTTCCTCGTCCTGGTTCCTCGACGACCAAGGCAGAGACGACTACAACGGGGACGTCTCTGGAGGTCGCTGGAGGTCTTCAGGTTTCAGGAGGCCTCCAAAGGCCATCCCAGAACCGGAAAATGAACAACAACACGTCAAACATGTCCAAGACGATGGCGACGAGGCCAACGACGTCGTCATAGTGCTCCTCCCTCGCCCCCTCCTCCTTCCTCTGTCCTCGCTCCCACCCTTCCTCCTGTATCTTCCCCTCCCTGCACCCGACATTCGCCCCCGCCTAGTCGTCCTCCTCCTTCTTCTCCTCCTCCTCCTTCTTCTTCTTCATCTGCTTCCTCCTCTTCCTCCTGCTCCTCCTCCTCCTCCTCCGGCGACGACGCCACCTAGCATCATTATCGAAGGTCCGCGCGGATTTCTTGGATCGGCGCCGCACCCTCGTGCCTTCACGTGCGGAACGCGCCAGGGGCGGCGCCTGAGGCGCCGCGGCGGGGGGGCCCAGCGCCGACCGAAGAAATCCATGAGGACCTCCCAAAAAGTCTATGCTTACAGTCAAAAGCCCTGGACGCGCGGTGAGGACGCAAGACCCTTGGAAGCCGAAGTTGGGATTTCTGGGGCGGTGGGCGACGAACACCTCAAGAACGCAAGAGCAAGGAAGAGCGAGGACGCAAGGGTACCCTGAGCAAAAGCGCGCGTCCTTATTAGGGTTTTTGACTGTACTTATGCTCCTTCGAGCCTCAGACTCGGAGCTGAGCAACTTGAGACAGCGGCAGCTCCAGATCGGCCCCGAGAAACCCTTCCCGGGGTCCAAACGCACCATTCTCCCGAGCTGCGCCAGGCCCTCGCGGCGAGGGCGCCCTCCGAAGGCCCACTGCCGCCGTCTCCACTCGCCCTCCTCGGAGTCTATGCTTACGCACTTTCTTTCGAGCCTCAGACCGTAACCCCCGACGTCGTGCTTTTTTCTTCACAACGTCGATCCTCAGAGGTCTGGCCCTTTCCCCAAGGCCGGTTTTTCATCCCGAGTCGTCCTTTGACCGCCCCGAGGCCCGGTGAGGGCCCCCCGGGGCCGAAAGTAGTGAAAAACCTTCCGTCGTGACTTTTCTTCGCAGGGCGAGGGGGTCTGGGGACCACGAAGCAGGCTACGACGGTGACCTGCGCCGACAACCGATGGGCCTGCGTGAACGCGGCCGGCGTGCGGCAGACGAGGGCCTCCCGCCCACCGGCGTGCCAGCGCTGCCGGCAGCCCTGCAGTAGTGCCTCCCAGGGCAGGAGCGGTGAACGAGGAAGGAACGGGGAGGCAGAGGGCAAGGGAGGGAGGGAGCTGATGATGAGGATGAAGAGGAGGAGGAAGAGGAGGAGGAGGAGGAGGAGGAGGAGGAGGAGGAGGAGGAGGAGGAGGAGCTCGCTCTCGCTCTCACGCATTTAGTTGTATCTCTGCTTGATCTTGTCCTCTCTCGCAGAAACTTTGGGGGGGGGGTACAACCTACATGCAGCCCCTTCAACTTGCCAGCTCTATGCAGCAAGGAGCAAGGAGCTGTCTGCACCCGGGCATGTGCAGCAAGGAGCTGCCTGCGCGGGGGCCTGGCCGTTGGACACCACGGGCGCGGCACAGAAACCAAAGGGGAGGGATTTCAAGCCTCTCGCTTATCTCAGACCACTCAAACTCTGACAAATCGAGGAAGGGAGGAGGAGGAGGAGGGGGAGGAGGAGGAGGAGGAGGAGGAGGAGGAGGAGGAGGAGGAGGAGGCAGAGAGGCGGCGCCTGAATGAGGTCGAGGTCGCAGAGGAAGTGGCAGGCAGAAGCCGCGGCCTCACGAGGCCGTGGCCCAGCAAAGCCTTTGGTGCTCAGGCTGCGGGTCCACGCAGGGCTCGGACTCAGACAGAGTCGGGGCGTTGACCTAAGGAGCCCTAAATAAGGAACGAGGCCCCTTTTTTTTCCATATGTTAAACTTGGCTTCCTATCGAGAACATGAGGACAGCCTGAGGCAAGCTGAGAAACACTTACGGAACGCGGAGCCCCTCCCAAACGAAAAGGGTTCCTTCTTCAGGGCCCCGACTGTAGGGGCAGCCACAAAGGTTGAGAGAAGTCCGGGGCGTCGGCCAGATACCATCACCCAAAGCAGACACATGCCAGGCAGACTCACCACACCCAGACAGGCGCAGTGAATCACCAGGCTGTCGGCTTCGTTATCCCCTCTCCTCTTGGGGTATGGCGCCTTACTCAGCCCTTTATTCCACTGCATTCTCCTCCACATCCCTGATCAGGGCAACTCGTCAGGGCGTCGGGTCTGAATGGGATGGTGGGGTTATGCGAAGCGTCTAGACGACGAAGAATAATCATACACATGAGTATCGTAATGCGGATATTCATTACTAAGAAGGACAATAGTCAT